TCAGCCTTCCATCCTTCCGAGGTGGGGGAAATGAGGACCCGGATTGTTGTTGGGGGCGATATGCTGACTCTGTAAACCTCTTAGACAGCGGTATATAAGTCTAACTGCTATTGCTATAAACTGGGACTTCTGCAGCGAGTCCCCAACCCATCAGCCTCACCGCTTCAGCTCCAGGCTGCTGACGGATTATGTATTTCCCTGGCCAGAGAAGCAAAAGAAGGGCCGAGATTTGCTTCCTGGTGTTTTTCTTTCTGGATTTATGGATGCTTCTCCAGAATTCCCAGCTGCCTCTGAAAAGCCGGGCAGCAGCGGTGGGACCTTCCCCTACCAGTTCGCAAATATGAGTGTGCGGGGGTTCGCTTCGCTTGCATGTTTGCGCAGTGCTCGCGCATTACATTGGGCCAGGTGGGCGGAACTGGAGAGAACTGCCGAGCAACCCAAGATACAGATCTGGCTGTGAACCCCTCTTTTATTACTTGGTTGCACTGCTGCAGCATCCTGTAGCAATGAGTTCCACAAGCCTTAAAGCAAGCCTGTTCACTAAAGGAAGCCACCACTGGAAACTCTGGGGCAGAACAGCAGCCTGCAGACAACGGCGGTTCTAATTCCTTAAAGGAAGTGCAAGCCAAGTGGCGCCTTTGCTGAAAACGAATAAAAATGAAGGTGATTTCGGAATGTATTGATTTGAAAGGTTTGTTGATAGGAAGGAGGGAACCATGGCCTACGATATGGGGAGTTATCCAACTGGGAAGATCTGGCGTCACTTTTTAAGGTCCTTTTTCTTTTTGCCATCTTTCACTTTTTCTTTTACTCCTTTATATTTTCTTTCTTTTGCTACTCTTCCAATGTGGGTTCCCTCCCTCCCCCCTTTCCCATCTATGTAAAATCTTCTCATAGGAAAAGAATTACTTCAAAGAAAAAACGTCACACAGACCGGCAAATTTCTGGGAAAATATTGGACTATATTTGAGAGGATAAATCTCAGCCCCGTTTTACAGTACCGTCTTGTATGCACATCCCTTGTTTTATTTGACAATATTAAAAGAAGGGCCCCAGGGCCCCCCCCCCCCCGACCAACATTATAAAAACAGTCCGAAGGGTCCCTCTCCTCTGCTTTCTCACAAATATCAAAATAAAAACTTTTAACATAACGCATTGCACCCAAATGTATAATCAAACTATTTTTTTTAAAAAACAAACAAACAATGAACTGTAAAGTTAGATATTAACAAGTTAAAGTCATTTAATTCCTTTTTTTTTTTAATAAAAAGAGACTTTAAAAGCAAACATTATTTAGTCTGCAAGATATATGCAGAGTATTCTGGGGGAGAACCCCAAATTACTTCAGTGCACTGTTCTGCTCTCTCTCCCCCCACACAGAGGTCCCAAAACCAGTGCAGTGCAGTGCTTTTTGACTTTGTCAACTTCAGGAGGGATGGACTTCAATTCCCAGAATTCCCCAGCCAGCTGACTGGGGAATTCTGGGAA